ATAATGTGGAGGTGCTCCGTCTTGATGAAACACTAGTTCCATTTCAAAATCGTCAGAATTCTGTTGTACAATTTGCAAAAGTCTTGAAAAAAAAACATTTACTTTCTAATGAAATTGAGTGATAACGTCACGATATTCATGTGGATTAACATCACGCCGATGCAATTTTCCACCCAAAAAGAAAGTACATTCATCACTGAAACAAATATGTTTCAAGTATAATCGATTTCGTTCAACCATATTTGTCATTAGCTCACAAAATTCTGTTCTTCTATATCAGGGTCATCTTCTGTTAATTCATGAAGCATTTTTATTTAAAATGGATGATATTTATTCTTCTTTAAGTATTTCCACGTCTTCCAACAACGACGCGGAAATATTTAACACATCACACGTTGATGCGATAGCAGCAGACGACATCATGGGCACATTAAATACTTCTGTTAATATCTGACGACCAGTTCTTTTGCGGTCTTCGACGCTTCCAGTTTCCAAAAACTTATTCACAAGCTCTCTTAAATATTTTCGACTAATTGGATGTTCAGGAAATCGTTCCTTAAATTGTCGCCCTGTTTCATGTAGATTTCTGTCAGCACGAGCGAATATTAAAATTGCTTCGATATTGTGCTCTAAACTCCTTCTAGCCATTTTGATCTCGCCTTTCTTTGGTTATACTTGGTCGGGTAGAATTCAAAGATAGAAATGAAGGAAAATATTTGCATGCTGCCTTAAATACAAAATTTCAAAGTACCTACAAACTTTAAAATTGTTGTTATGACAATTTTTTCTTAGAAGTTTTAAAAAGAACTTTCTTTTTATCCTTTTCTTGTATTGATTGTTTCATAAAAACATTCTAAAAGAATTGCTGATTTTAACCCTGCTTAATCCGAGCGTAGACCGACCTTTAACTGACCGTCCACCATTTATCTGGCCCATTGTATCTCGACAGGTAGTCAACGAAGATACGTTGGTTTTTCCGGCGAAATTCCGCATTTTGTTTAATTTTTATGTAAAAAACTAATAAACCGATATTTGATTGTGAGGTATCGTTGAATTCGTATTGTTTTATTCTTTCGAAAGATACCATAATATACTGGGTGTTCCATTTAAAAAAACAAAGCTGTTCCATTTTCCGGAAAAACTAAAAGTGATACCAAAATTTTCCATAAGAAAATATTTGTGCTGATGAAATATAGAAACTGACGTTTTTTTGTTCATATTGATATCTCAATCTGTTCAGAAGTTAAACAGGGGAGGGGGGTTACTTTACGCTAGCACTGTATAACTCTTCGAATATTATCCTCCAGTTGCGGTATATAGTATTCTCGTTCAAGCAAATCTTTTGTCTTCTTTATAGCGAAATGACCATTCTCGTGTGCATTCTTAATAATTTGATAGTGCATATTAGTATGAACCACTATAAGTTGTAATCCATTTTTGTTATAGCTTTGATTTGATCATCTTCTCGTTGTGAAATCTGTAATTTCTCTAGTGTACTGTTTTGAATCAACATCGTTATTGGATTTCTGCTTAATGTGTCACAGTGTTTCATTCGTGAACCTGGTCGGTGTTGTATCACATAGTTAAACTCTTCCAACAATAAAGCTTATCGAGCTACTCTGGTACACAAATCTTTTTTGTTCATAGTGGTCGTAAACGCCGCACAGTCTGTTACTATTTTAAACGGTATCCCAAGTAAGGTATACACGAAATTTCTTCAAAGCCTGCACAATGGTCAAAAGTTCCAATTCGTGTAGCTGTGGTATTTTCTTTGTGCATCATTTGTTTTTCTGCTCCACCTACCCTGCCCCAATAGACAGGGTGCAGTTCACCATTTTCACCACTTCTCTGTAATAATATCGCGCCAAATCCGTCTAGTATCACCTCTCTAAGTATGTTGTTTAAATAACGTTGGAAAACTGTTGGAGAAATAGACAATACAAATGGCGTCTTCAGAAATTCACTGTCCCCTGGGCGTCACGAAAGATGTATATTTGACACTGTCTTCTGCTACAGGTACATGGAAAAAGCCATTTCTAAGATACAGGGTAGTAAATATTTTTGCTCCTGCTACTTGATCAATTTGATCTTCCACAAATGGAAGAGGATAGCGATAATTATTTTCTTGTTTAATCTTCGGTAGTCAATGCACATAGTAGTGGCCTTCCTTTTTCTTTACTATGTGTATCTGCTATCTATGCCACTTGACACTTAGGCCGGCGAGGAATCAGTTTTACTTTAGAAACCGAACGTGTCAAACGTAAACCGCGTGCAATGTCTCGCAGTCGTCTCTGTGTTTTTCTTTCTTTTTTCGGTCTCTGTGAGTTTAAACCAAAGAAAAAATTTATTCGAAGTTAAGTTGGATTTCATTTAGGTCAATTATTCGATTGGTCAGCATTATTGCAGCCGCTATGTCCTGTAGCATGATTAGACTAGCATAATTGGAACTACTAGGCCTAATTATTCCTTCTTTTAACCATTCGCCAATTTGTTTATCAACTTCACCCTTTTCGGAATGAGAAAGTCGTCTTGGATGTTGATATACAGGAACATCGTCTTTCAAAATTATTTTAGTTTGTATACTATTAGTTACTTGATTAAATCCTCTTATGGGATTATAGTCCTGAATGATACTTCCAATCTTGAATTTGCAGCTAGGCGTACCAATGTCTAAATCACATCCACTGTTTATCAATAATATGTTGTTTACTTCCAAATCGTCAATTTCCAACTCTTGATTCACTTCGAGACTCTTTACTTCAACACTATTGTGATTGATTGTCAACGTGACACTGTTCAAGATAGGCTTGTCAATAATTAAATCCATAGGTATGGAATCATCACTAAGTACATGTACTTCAGTAATAAAATCGCAATCGTCGACATGCATTCTTCCTTTAAATTTTCCAATAGTTTTAACAGCATTAGTTCCTATACCCTTAATTTGTACTGGATTTAAGTCTAACTGTGGTGAACCCATTCGAATATATTCGCTTGCTTTTAAAATATTGAAATCACTTCCGGTATCTACGAAACCTGCAACGATCTTTCGCATTTTCAATAGATATTGAGTGACTGTTTCGTCTTTTTGATTTGCTCTTGCGGTAAATACTCATTTTATGAAGTGGAACCCCTTAGACTTCGCTTAAATTCGTCCTTTAATTTGTTTTTACACATTCCATGTTGAAACCTTTCTTTCTGGCTTCATATACAAACGTGCATTTTAATAATCCATAGATTAGTTTCTCAACGTCGCTCCATCCCATCAACATAGTATCTTAAAATTTTTCCACCCACTTCTCAATCGAACAACCATCACCTCCATCAAATGTACTAACCGTGTCTTCAACGTCTTTAAAAGTCAACACAAATTTTGGATTCATCTTTGGATGCTGATTGTGTGAGTAACCACTCGATTTACTTTCGTCGTCTATTGAATTTTTACTTTCGTTATCGATAACTGCATTTACACATGCATCGTGTTGTGGTAACGTTACAGGTTCATCGTCTTCTTCGTCATTTTCATCTGCTTTACATTGATCTTTTAAAAGTTCTAAATTCGAAAGTTTTCAAAAATATATATATAACAGGCTTTTATTGATTTTATAGAAGCTAAATATTTCGTTCGATAGACAGTATGATCCCTAAGCTCGTCATGTTTATAAATAATCGATAGCAAACGTCGAAAGAAATGAAGTAATAAAAAAACAAGCGACTTATCTTTCTATCTAACGTCTTAGCGTCGTCGCCGTCTAGCTGTTTTGTCGTGCCGTTCGTCGTGGTTCCTGTCCTGCGCTGGTCCAACTGCCTAAATGTCGCCTCACTGCCGGCTTTTCCTCTTCCGTCTTTTTCTCTTCTTCAGGTCTTTTCGTCTTCCGTCTTTTTCTCGTCTTGTCTTAACGTCTTCTTTTGCTTTTTCTTGGTCTACTGTTTTTTTCACACATTGCGTTGTCCGTAATCGCGGTTCAGCCCCCAAAAATTAACAAAACCCCACTTGTTCTTAATTAATTTATTATTTCTATTAACAATTAAAGTTTCATTTGATTAACTCATTTCAACACAACACGTCTTTACTGTTTGCTTATCGTCTTCTAACCTCTGCTTCTCAACTTCTTCTCTCATCTCCCATCTGCTTCTATCGATCGACCCGAGCCCTTGACCGAGTACACTCGAAGGGTTTCGAGTCTTCCCGAATCTTTCCTACATATATGACTCTATCAATAGAAAATGACTACCAGATACTACACTAGCTACCATAAGGGCTACCATGAATTTTACAATGGCGACAGATAGAATATAAAATGACCCAAATGGATGTCGGGAGAGCAAACTCACTAAGAAATGAATCCGTGCAAATAGCAGCCTATTCCGGCGATATTAACATCATCTTTCGCAGGACAGAAGACGCAGCAGATGCGTCACACACAACTTAAAAGAGAAACGAAGAACGTTGGTCTTGAAATAAATAAACATTATAGACAAGAAGGCAGGTAAACCATTATAGCAATATTATATGCCGAGGAAATGTTGAAGAAGTAAGTATCTTTACGAACAGGATATCAAATTCAACACAGAAGGATCGGCAGAACCATAAATACAAAATAGAATATCGACCGCGCACAGAACTTACTTTGCCCTATCAACTGTATATATTGTGCTATAAATGCGAGACATGGATTATGATAGAGAACGCAAAGAAAAGAAATAGAAATAGAAAGTTCAGAAATAGAGAATATTGTTAATACTCTTCAATCTGTTAACATATTTTCGTTAGGAAGCCATAGAACGATTAAAAATCAGCTTGCTGCATCCGAAATTTTAAACTTAAAAAAAACATCAATTTTCCACATCTTTCTTTAAACCTTATTATTGTCCCCCTCTATGTTTTCGGCTTTCAACGCTCATGCGTATCAATAGTTTGTTTCCAACTTAAAGAATTGGGTTGGAGGGGATCATTTAGAGCTTGTATATTACGTTGGTTCCGGTTAAGGTCATCTAAAATAACTTTTTGCTTAGATTTAGCGATTATGGCGTGTTTAATTATATTTTTAACAGTAGCCATATTATTAGTAACATTGAAATTATATTGGAAATTAAATACCAAATGGAACAGGTCTTATAAATGCTTAGTTGGTAAAACAGTGTTAGTTACTGGTTCGAATACAGGTAAGAGATTTTGATTTTAATAACCCTCTATGGTTCCCTCACATATCTATAACAATAATTACATTGGTGAATAATTATTTTGTAATATTTTAGGTATTGGTTATTACACAGCTTTAGATTTTGCAAAAAGAGGCGCAAAAGTAATATTAGCATGTAGAAATAAAATAAAAGGTGAAGAAGCTCAAAGGCAAATGATAAAAAAAAGTGGAAACGAAAATATTATATTAAAATTGATCGATTTGGAGTCATTTGAATCCGTTCGAAACTTTGCTAATGACTTCAATCAAAATGAAGAGCGTTTGGATATTTTAGTAAATAATGCTGCTACTTTAACCGGACTAGATTACATGACGAAAGATGGATTTCCAGTTATTATTCAAGTAAACCATTTATCGCCGTTTTTATTAACACATCTCTTATTACATAAATTGAAGAAATCAGGCTATAGCCGCATTGTAAACGTTGCATCTAATATGGTACAAGCGGGAAAGTTTCAACCGAAAAATCTCGGTCTTCCTCTAGATATATCGTATAAACGATATCGATCCAGTCAATATTACGCTGATTCGAAATTATGCAATGCTGTTTGCACGATAGAAATGGATAAACGACTCAAAGATACTAATATTATTGTTAACGCACTTCATCCAGGTGTAATTGTAACTAATATATTCGATCACCTTCCTAAACTGTTTTGTACAATTGTCCACTCATTTAAATGGCTGTTTAAAGTATTTAGATTTAGACGGAATGTCAGAATTATTTAGTTATCATTTATTTATTTTTAGACAATCGAAGAAGGTGCTCAAACAACATTATATGTTGCGCTTTCAGAAGATGCTGGGAAATCGGGAGGACGATTTTTTAATAATTGCAAAGATGTGGGACATTATAAAAATGCTAAAGATCTAGATTTTGCACGTGAAGTTTACGAAAAATGTGAAAAATTAGTTGGTCTCCTGCCAGAAGAACAAATTAAATAATAAATAAATAAAATTATTAAATAAAGTAATCTTGAAAAGTGTAGAAAATCTTAAATATTTTTAGCAAAAAGATATTCATTAAAAAAAGTTTTTATAATTGACATTTATAAATACTTTAATAAACAAGATACTTTCTTTGTTATTGCCATAATATATAGTAAATTATTTCAATTCGAAGTTAAGTCAATAAAAAAATTTTTAAATAACTTTTTTATTGCTTTATGCAATACCCCATTATTGGTTTCAAAACTGTACATTCATAAAATGTGTCAACTATACGATTTAACAATCACTACAGCCATTAAAATATAGTAATTTGTGGATGTATCCGGAATGTATGTTGCAAGTTACTGAATAAAGCAATACAAGAATTCTTATTCTGTATTTAAGTTCATTTTCAAGATTCTTTTTCATTTACGTGTAATTAATTTCAGACAATTAGTTCATTCACTACTGTTTACTGATGCCTTACATTATAAAAATATATAAATAAAAATAAAATTCGATTAAAAATTGCGTTAAGAATTGATGTGTCATGCAAGTTATTGTCGTTGTTGTCATGCAAATTGTTGTCGACAATAACTTGCATGACACATCAATTCTTAACGCAATTTTTAATCCTCTTCAATTATAATTAAACAAAACTCTCTGCGTAGTTCATTAGTACAAATAAAAAAAAGAAATACCAAATGTTTCATTCTATAGGACACTTTTGTAACAAAATGACGTAATCTCCTGAAGGTGCTGTAAATATATAGCGAAACCGGTTGAGAGAAAATTTAAATAAAAATCCAGTTAAGTGCAAAAACGAATTTTATTTATTAGACATAAAATGGAAAAAAAATCATCAAACAACATAAAAATATATATTCACAATTACCAAAACTTTTCAAAAGGGACGATAAATTTTCCATATAAACCTAAGAAATTTGAAGATAATTACAATCTACAATTCAAGGACTTAAAGGAATGAACTTCGCTAACTTTTCTTTCTATACGATCGACTTCTAAACTTTCTCGAGGATGTTCTGGGGTTTACAATTTTTTAGAGTATATTCGAAAAATGAAATAATGAAGATTATTTATAAAATTAATATCTCAAGAACTATAACGTATTTTAAAAAATCGCTTCTATAGTTAGTAAGCTTATAATTTAAATTATTCAGAAGTATCCAGTTTATTCCGAATAATAAGAAAATGTCTCATCATGTTTAAATTATTAAGTTTTAAAATTAATATCTCAAGAACTAAAAGATATTTTCAAAATCCGCTTCTTTTATTAGCAAGTTTATAGAACGTAAAACAAATGCTCATTATTTCATAATCGGAAGTGTTTTGCGATCGTGCGTCAAGTGTTTTATTTTACGCTTTATAAATCGTTTATAGATGACATAAATAATGTAATAATATTGTAAATATTGATAATATAAATATATTAATAATATAAATCATACACGCGATTTATAACAATAAATAACAATTCAGCAATTCGTAATTGCTGTTATTACGAAGTAAGTAAATCAATAAAAACAATTAAGAAATAAAAACAAACAATTAAGTGGGTTAATAACATGGAAAAGTTTATTCCAAAAATGGATATGGAATTCTCCGAACATTCCGCCGAACTTCAAAAAGAAATCGAACAAATAAAGGAGCAACGCACTAAAGATGAAGCTGCTCTTCAGAAACAGATAGATGACCTGAGGGGAATTATAGAAGGTCTAAAAGCCCAACAAATCTTAACCCTCCAGTAACCACTAAAGTGGTGTATACCACAGACGAAAATGAGTTAACTTTGGAGACTGACTGGATAATAAAACAAGCTAAAAGAAACAAAAAGAGTAAAACTGAAACCTCGTCATCTAAACTGTCTTCTGAAATTGAAAACAAACCTGAAAAGCAACCCGTACAATCTGGCGCAAAAAACAAAACAAAGGTATTACTACCCCCAACAATATTAATTTATAATATCAAACAATATGATGACATTTATAAATTACATAAAAGCGTAATTAAAGATGGTTTTTTAACACCAGCGTTAAATAACGGCACAATAAAACTGAATCTTAATTCGGAAGAAAAGTACAAACACCAAAGGTGCTTGCTGAAAATAATTTGTCCTGGTCAACTTATGAAAATAAGTAAACTAGAAATCTGAAAGTGGTCGCTAAAAAGATGCATAAAAGCTGTGATGTTAATGATATCAAAGATGATCTATTGGAGCGCAAGTATAACATTTGTAAAGTAACGCAGATGTTAAAATACAAAACAAAAGAGACTCTTCCTTTATACATCTTGGAGTTTGCACCGTCAGAGGATGTAAAAAGAATTCATGAAATAACAAACATATTAGGAATGCGTGTCAAAATCGAAGAGTACAGAAAGCCAAAACAAATGCCCCAGTACAAACGGTGTCACGGTTGAAGTCACACCAAAGCTTACTGCCACAAAAATCCGAGATGTGTTAATGTGTTGGTGAACACTGGACCGAATGCACTAAAGCCAAACAAATCCAGACTAAATGTTTCAACTGTGGAGAAAATCATCCAACTACCGAGGATGCATTGTGATTAAGGAACTACAAGCCAATAAGAAAATAGTAAATTCAAATAAAATAAAGCCAGGCGTCTCGTATGCCGAAAAAGCGAGTGGTGAAACTGCAGAGAAAACTGTAAGTACATTAATCGATAAGAAGGCTGACAGTAAATGAGATCTAATACTAGAAAAAATACTTCAACAAGAAGAAACAATAAAAACATTATATGCACGTCTAGATTTCATTGAAAGCAATTTAAACCAAGGAGCGATTCAAAAAAGAAATCAAAATGTTTAAAAAGCAGCAACTAAAAATAATGCTGTGGAATTTCAATGGTCTTCGACAGCATCAAAACACACTACCAATAATACTTAAAAAAAACAATATTGATCTCCGAAACTCACTTTGCACGAGAATCGTATATAAACATTACAATATTTATCAGACAATTCACCCGAGTAGTGCGGCTCGAGGTGGAAGTGCAATTATTATTAAAAGGAATGTTGACCACTATTTGAACAATACAATTAGTACCGAACAACACCAAACTACAGTGGTAAAAGTTCAAACCGCTAATGGCTTAATTTCCGTCGGAGCTTACCACCGAGAGATAATCTCAAAAGAGAAGATTATCAGGAAATTCTACTACATCTCGACAACAAATTTATACTTGGAGGAGACTTTAATGCAAAACATATGTCTTGGGGTTCTCGCTTGACAAATACAAAAGGAAAAGAACTGAACCATGCAATAGAGGCCCTAAATTGTGAGGTGCTCTCCACCGGGAAGCCAACTTACTGGCCAACGAAGGCTTTCACGGCCGGTGCTAATTGAACTATAATTAGAACGAAAACTAGAACTAGCACTAGAAGTTCGAACCAGTTTCTGAAGAATGTTGCAACATGGCATCCGAAACGTCAAACCTTTTCTTAAAAGACGCACGGCAAAACCCGAAAGTTTCTAGTGTTAGTTCTAGTTTTAGTTCTAATTTTAGTTCAGTTAGAAGTCAAATTCCGGACCTGCTTGATTTTGTTATTATGAAAAATGTATCGCTTAATTTCGTAAACATAGAAGAAGAGTTAGCGCTGTACTCAGATCACTCACCAGTATTTATTACTCTAAATAACAAAGTATGTAACAAAGAACTCCTTTTATCGCTATCTAATAAACTCACTAATTGGAATCTATTTTAACAAACATTAGATAATAAAATTCATCTTATGCTCTTATGAAAACAAATGAAGACATTGACAATGAAGTAGAAAAGTTCTTAAAAGACATACAAAACGCAGCCTGGGCCTCAACACCAATTTTAACACCAAAACCTAAATCTAATATTTACCCTAAATTCATTAGAGACAAAATTGCAGAAAAACGGAAAGCAGCAATGGGGCCTAAGTGTGGCGTGCGGTTTTGCATGCACTCCCCAATCCATACATACACATACAACGGAAAGCAGGAAAGAAATGGAAAACCAATAGAATTCCTAGTGATAAAACTAAATTAAATAAAATAATAGCCGAATTATGAGCATTAACAGATAGCCACAATGATAATGATATTCAAAATTACTTAAAAGACCTTACTAACGATGCCAGTACTGATTATTCTCTGTGGAAGGCAATAAGAAAGCTTAAAATTCCAAAAACACATACACCTCCAATTCGAAATAATAATGGAAATTGGGCTAAGAGCAATCAAGAAAAAGCTAATTTGTTTGCAGAACATCTGAAAGAAACTTTTACATACAGACCAACAACTATGCTAAATAGTGTCCCTAGCGTAATTCAAAGTGATCAGCTGAGTAATATACCATGTGTAAGAATGAAAGAACTGTATTATAAAATACAAAAACTAAATATAAAGAAATCAGTACGCTATGACTTAATTAATGGAGAAATATTGAAACATCTACCAAAACGGGCGATTACAAAACTACTACATATAATTAATGTTGCTTTTAAGCAGAAATACTTCCCAAGCATATGGAAAGTTGCTGAAATAATAATGATACCAAAACCTGGTAAACCCCCCACCGATGTTACATCATATAGGCCAATCTCATTATTACCATTACTATCAAAACTGCTTGAAGAATTACTATTAAAAAGACTAAATCCTTTCACAGAAGAAAAAGCCCTAACACCAACATATCAATTTAATAATTAAAATAAAGTCTGCTCCGCCGTATTTCTGGATGTTGCACAAGCTTTCGACAAAGTCTGGTTAGATGGTTTAAATTACAAACTAGACCAAATACTACCATCAACGTATAGTCATCAACTATACCATCTATACCATTAACTATTAAAATTGTATCTTTCTGATCGATATCTTAGAGTAAAATACGAAAACGCTTATTCACCACCACATGAAATACGAGCCGGAGTTCCTCAAGGAAGTGTGCTTGGCCCAACACTGTACTTACTCTACACATTCGACCTTCCTCAGGTACCAGAAACTT